CTCCCATTTCATTCATAGACTTTTTAAACTAATAAATGCATAACTTGAATATCAATGGTTTTTTTGTCACAGAAAAAGTCTCCCAATCAAAATTATAATCTTACAGCTTTTAATATTTTACAGTATTTCAAAGGAGATTATGAAGCTAACCAGCAAATATCTATTGTATTAAAATACATGCACATTTTTCTTTAAATTTTTGGGATTCTGTCTACAGTGCTTCTGTTATACTTGTTCAAATTATTCTTATACTGTATTCTAAAACAATGAAGCTTCTAAACTGATGGAATGTTGCCAGGGAAATCCAACAGAGTTTGTAGGCAACATAACCAAAAAGCATAGTTCAAATTGGCTTAGGGAATGAATGGGCTCAGTTATGAAGAGCAGCTGAAGGCTGTGTACAATTAACAGCATTTGTCAGCGTTCACTGAGCCCCATATAGAACAAGCAGTCCCTACAGCCCCACAGGCCAGCTAACGCCCAGCTTCTGGCACCTTAGGGTCCACAAGACTTGAAAACAAAAAGACAGCCTCAAGCCATCACTAAAAGGACAATGGCACATTTTAGAGATACTGGCAGAAACATGAAGCAACAGCTAATTAATGCTAATTATCTGGAACAATTCTGTGAACATTAGCATCAGGCCTGCAAATTAACTAGCCATCTTCACACACATCATTTCTAGAGAGAGGCTATTATGTAGAATGATTTTTACAACATTCCTCATATTATTTTTAAAAGATTCAGAAATTATCTTCCTCTTCATAGAGTGAATTCTCACCTTAAAGATTTCTGTATGAAAAATACTGTATTCACTTGATGGCAACTTTTTTGTTGTTGTTGTTTCTGTATACCCTAACTATATCTCACTCACCAGTGTGTTCAAAATAAACAAAATGTCCAGAGAAAAGTTCATTAAATAAATTTATTTGTTAAAATAATTTAACTCCAAATACAACTGTTGAATTTGCATTGGGTTATAACTAAAATTCTTGTTTTAATTGAAATGCCATGGTTTAACAACTGACATTGTTACAAAACAATAAGGAGTTGTTTAATTTTAAATGGTCAGTTGTATTAGAGCACAACAATTAACTGTGAACTATATTTATCTCTGGGAAACCCCAAATCAATAATGATAAGTCTGTTTCCAAAACCCACTGCAGTCATTCCTGAAACCCTGATCGATTGAGATTTAACAGATGCACAATGACGCTTACAAATGAAAACAAGACCCCGGTACTCTTTAACATTTGATTAGCTAAGGAGACAATTAAAGCTTACCCACTGCTAACACAAGACTACAGATAACAGAAAAAAAACTCAAAAGAAAACAAAATCCCAACAACAACAACAAAACACTTTCCTATTTACACAAACATGGACAACATTCACACTAGAAAACTCTTGAAAACAAACTGACATCTTTAGGCAACTTTTTTTTTTATATATATATATAAAAGCAAGTATCAGTAGTTTTACCACAGAAAAGTGATGGCAACTGTAGCAATTGGAGTCAAAAGTTCATTTCTAATTCTACATAGGAAAGGAGAAAAGACAACAAAGCACCTTTCAATAGTTTAAGAAAGATTTTATGTAATACTTTTGATTAGATGCTGGCTTGTTTTACAGAAGGGGAACAAAATTGAAAGGCCTCAGTCACCATCACTATCACAGCTTAAAGAACCAAAACGAAGTGGCAACATTAAAAGGAGAAAACAAATCAAGAAAACGCTGCCTTTGCTTAAAAAGCAAGAAAGAAAACGAAACAGAAACAGAATCGTATGGACAACAGCTAAAGAAAAAGCAGGTCTTTGGATCAAACCATAATTATTTTTTAAGGCATGTTAGAAAACTTTCACTTACATAGTCTGATCAGGGCATAAAAGAAATGGTGACCAAAGGTCACTAACTTCCCTCTGTAGCCACTATTATTTCATGTGCCAACAAAGTTCATCATCCTGTTCTGAAGCTTTTTTTTATTAACATCTCCACAAACACACTTCATTCATTCACGCTGAGTTATAAAGCACAAGAGGATTTACACTGTGATGCTTGTGATGCTTTGCCGCTCAGTATGAAGGCGGTGTGGAAGGCTGTGCCGCCAGCCAATTCGGTCCTTAGTAACAGTTAGGCAGTACGTTCCATCTTATTAGTGACATAAAACATTTTTAACTCAAACTTGAAACTTTAGATATTCTTACACCCTTGTTTGGTCATACCTTCCTCTTGTCAGACAGTTTTAAGTCTATGTACTGACTCTGTAAGCGACACCATGACAAGGGAGGAAACGCTGAAGCCGTCAGTCAAGGATTTAGTTTTAGTTGGATCCACAATCAATGCTGACTCAGGCAATGGTATTCTCAATCCCCTCATATGCATGTGAAAGCTGGACAAATCACCCTCCCATGCATGTGAAATAAGGAACACCAAAAAGGAAAGGGTGCCTTGGAATTGGTCAAGACTGCTGTGGCCTTTGAGAAGAACGTACTTCCCGTCTTGGAGGAAGAACAGCCCAAATGTGAGGATGGGAAACGTAGTCTCATGTACTTTGGATATGTTCTCAGAAGGGACCAGTCTATGGAGGACATCATGCTTGTTAAAGCAGGGGATCATCTTAAAAGAGGAAGATCCTCAGTGAGATGAATACAGGGGCTGCAACCCTGGCTCAAACACAGCAATGAGTGTGGAGACGGGAGCAGGGCTGGGCCCTTTCTTCTATTGTACAATGTCACTATGGAGTTGGAACAGAGGGGATGGCACTTAACGACATAGCAACCTTACAGGTAAGAATGTAGAATCTTTACAGATGATCATAGTATGTGATCTTTGTGGTCATAACTTTCTACGAAGTATGAACTTTTATGAAATAGCTTTGAAAGAAATAGAATAGACTGGAAGAAATCAGAAGCTTCAAAATTCAAACAAATTCACTAACAAATTTTTTTTTTCTTCAACAGATAAATCATACATGTTCCAGTCAAGTCAACTTTCACAGTTGAAATTTGTTTTAATAAAACTGGTTAAAACATTTTGGTCTGCAAAGGAAGTGGTTCCTAATTGAGAATCGTAAAAAAATTCTATCAAAGGCTGTAAAGTACAAGTCACAGATTTTTTTTTTAATGACTAGCCTGTTTTTACCCACTTATTTCTTCAATTTTCTCATCTATGAAAAGTTTGGGCTACCCAAGTTTTTTTCTGTCCTCTAAATTTAACGCCAGCTACTAAACATGTAGGCTACTACAAATGATTGTAAAAATGGTAAAAAAAAACAAACCTTAAATAACTTAAAAGGGAAAAACCACATTTTTCTGATGCTCTACACTCTGCAGTAGAGGTTTTTAGTAGACGCTTTTATCTCTGACTTGTGCCAAATTCATAGGAACAATAAGCACACGTGAACACACATACAACTCTGGTCTCGGATACACAGAGAAGACCAAACGTTACTTGGACTAGACTGTGAAACCAGTATAATGTGGGGTGGTAAGCAGATTGCAGGCTCAGTGGTACTGCAGTTCCAAAGGCCAAATTCATCTCCAGAGAGGCAGCTCAAGGTCTTCTCTCCAGTATTTTCCACTCTAAAGTTACCTGGAAACCTTTCTACACTTGTTTGTAAAACTTATGAAGGGGTATTTCCTGTGCCATTCATCATGCAAATGATAAAATACTTCACGGCTATGAAAATTAAAAAAAAAAAATGTCAGAGCTTGAGCACCTTTTTACCAAACGAAATATTCACTCTTGCTTTATTTGCCATTCCAGCAATCAGGGCAAAATTGTTCTCAGAAAACCTTTCTATAATTCTCCAGGAAAATTAAAGATAAAAGGCTCTTTGTCCCTTTACCTTCCACTCGGCAATTTATGTTCTACTTTTGAACTCACATCATTTCACGTGGTTATTCGGATTTTTGAAACGCCTGCATTCAAGCTCTGAATGCACAAACTTGATTTCAAAAGCAGGTTAGCCGAAAGACCACACCACAACCGTAGCCCTTCAAGGCAAGGAGGATTTGCTGCTTTGACAAACATAAAAATGCAAGATAGCTGTTCTGTCCTGTGAGGTTTCTGCAAGTGGGAACATCTGGATACAACATGGCTTCATTTTCCTTACACGATGGTACAGTAAATCTACTAGAATGCTTCTTGTTAGTAAGGCTAGGCAATTGCTTTTCATCACAGTTGCTTCCTTCTTGTTCAGCAGAGAAATAAAACCTTCCCTGCTTGGGTTAACAAGAGGTTTTAATTCTGATCAACCCCTCTGAGCGCCTCCATATCCTGTGGCAAAGCAGGTGATTTAACACATTCTACAAGCCAGATTGTATTTCTAACACAACCTGTTCAAATTTTTTGTTTCTCTATCAAGCACTGATACAGGAGTTACTTCTGCGTCACAAATTAGAATAACATCTACAATTAAACATCACTTGTGAAAAACAGAAATACGTCAGCTGAGCAAAGAATCTCTCCCTGTAATGCTGTTGATGTGTTAGCTGTCATTATCTTACTTGACGGAATACGTGGGTTACAAGCACTATCCCCATTCCTGAAATGCAGTACTCACATAGGAAAATATCTCTCCTTTTACTTAGTAGTATTTTTTTTTAAAGAAGACAAAATATTTTAATTGTCAATAGTCTTAATAATCATTCTTCCGGTTTCTCCCTCAGATTACTTTTAATGTTTGCAATAGTTGCTTCTGTTGTCTCAGCGGCAAGACCATCATAGCTTTTGAATGCAGTCACCCTGTAGATCAATTGGCTATGCCTCAAAGCTGTAGGTGTGTGAAGGGGACTGAGGACTCAGGTGAAAACCGTAGTGGCTGAACTCAAATGTTACTCGGAGATGTCTACGAGCAATCTGTGCTCAGTTCTGAAGACGGGGTGGTCCTTCACCCGAGATTCCCACCACACATCCTGCAAACTCCACAGAAGAGCAGGTGAGGCTCGAGTCGCCTACGGCATTGAGCAGACCCTGTCTGGGACAGCCGTCTTCGAATGCTATTGTATGTTACATGCGGAGCAGCAGGGGTCATCTTTGTCAGGCTGCGCAGCGTAGTTCATCTGCCTCACGATTTCCGCAAAGAGTTCGTCCACCATGGTTTTACTCTTAGCCGAAGTCTCCATGAAGGGGCAACCCCACTCTTCTGCGAGGGCTCGGCCTTCGTTGGACGATACCTCTCTCTCACTTTCCAGGTCCACTTTGTTTCCAACCAAGATGACCGGCACCTTCTCATACCTAGGAGGGATTAAACCAAACACACACATATTACACAAGGCAGGGCAGAACTAACAAGGCAAAAGAAAAAGCTTTTCCATGATATACTGTTGTTAAGTGCTGTCGAGTCCTAGGCAACTCACAGAGACCCTATGAAGGAGAGTCTTTGACACTTGTGTGACTTTCATCCTTTCTCCAAGTTCATAGGGTTTCCGGAGGCAAGCTATTTACAGAAGTGGATGCCACTCCTGCTTCCAAGCTTGTTTTAATCGGAGAGCTCCACCAAACACTGTCCCCCATGGGTAACCATTAATGCATTTGACACATCAGTGTCACAGTGTTCAGCTTCCCAACAACGATGAGTACGGCAAGTGGACACACCAGGGCTATATATATGACCTTTGGCTTGGTACAATAAATATTCCTTTGTGACATGAGGGATTATTTGCTCCGCTTTTCTGGTCATCTACGTAAAGACGTTTCAAAGATCTTTTTATAAAAACAAGGCAAAACCAAAACCAAATGATGTGCTATGAAGTGAATTTCAACTCGTGACAATCATGCGTATATTAGGGAAGAATAATATTCTTTGGGTTTAATGGGTGAATTCTCTGGAAGGCAACCACCAGCCATTTCTTCATGGCAGACTCAGATTGTTATCCTTTTTTCGCTAATACTGCTAACATTGTGTGCGTCATCAAAGAAATCAGCTGATTTCCGTCACAGCATTTAATGAGTTTTTCCAAGTATCTTCAATATCTTATTCATACATTCTTTAAATTCAATTTACCTTTTTAGGTGTACTCGAAAATTGTATTTACTTTTTAGACAACTACTCTGCTAAGATTAGTTTACACCGTCCCCCCACGTCTTAAGAGACCCAACTTAGCATTAACAGTTTGTCATGTAATAGTTCTACAGAGTACAGAAGCAACTTACAATTTTACTCTATTCTATAAATAGTTGCAGAACTAATCATGGTTCCTGGGGAAAAGCTACTGGAAATCCTTAGGATTCGAGAAAACGGCAAAACATAGACAACAACATTCTAATTCTTTATAAAACTAACAGATTAGCCGTTGAGAGAGAAACCAATCGCTGTTTTTTGCAGCCTGATAAATGACTTTTTAATCACTGTCTTTATTTGATGTTCTCTCTTCTTTTTCTTCCTAGCTAGGTTTCCATGGGTAAACATGTTTGGCTAAAGGCTAGTAGAATTAAACAGTGAAAGAACAATGAAAGTCCTGAGTTATTGTCTATCCTCGATTCAGGTGATTCCATATATGAGTACTCCATGTGGGCATATATGATCAAGCAGGGAAAATCCATGGTATTTTTTTTTGTATGTTTATTTCATATTCTTATTTATGTTCTAAGAAATAACTCTCATATTATGGTGTGGTACTAGGGGTATTGTAGCTAATGTTAGATGTATCTTGGCTGAAAGCAGGAAGTACAAGAGGAATGTCTATCTGTGTTTCATTAACTATGCAAAGGTGTTTGGCTGTGTAGATCACAACAAACTGTGGCTGACTCTGGAAGAACGGGAATCCCAGAACACTTGATTGTGCTAATGAGAAACCAAGATGCAGTCATCAGAACAGAGCAAGGGAACATCGTTCAAAACTGGGAAGGGTGTACGCCAGGGATGTGTCCTATCTCCATCCCTTTTCAATCTATATGCAGAACAGATTATCTGGGATGGTATGAGGAGAAGTGTGGCATCAGGATTGGTGGAAGACTCATCAACAATCTATGTTATGCAGATGACACAACCCTGCTTGCTGAAACTGAAGAGGACCTGAAGTGCTTGCTGTGCAGAAGGTCAAGGACTGCAGCCTCCTATATGGATTGAAGCTTAACATCAAGAAAATGAAGATTCTCACCACTGGGATGATTGGCAGCATCATGATAGATGGTGAAGAGATTGAGATTATAAATAGCTTCAGTTTGCTTGGCTCCACAATGAACACTCTTGGCACCAGCATCCAGGAAATTAAGACATATTGTTCTGGGAAAAGTCTGCTGTCAGAGATCTCTCCGAAGTACTGAAGAGCAACAATGTCAGTCTGGGGACTAAGGTGCGCCTGATACAGGCCATAGTCTTTGCAATTACTTGCTATGCATCAGAGAGCTGGACAATGACTAGGGATGACAGGAGAACTGATGCCTCTGAGCTGGGGTGTTGGAGAAGAATACTGAATATACCATGGACTGCTAATAGAATGAACAGGTTTGTCCTGGAGAGGGTTAAAGCAGGCTGCTCCTTGGAGGTAAGGATTCTGAAGCTTCGTCAGACATACTTTGGACATGGTGCAAGTAGAGACCAGTCCTTGGAGGGGGACATCATGCTTGGGAGGGCGGAGGGACAGTGCAGAAGAGGAAGAGCCTCGATGAGATGGATTGATTGACTGGTGTAATGAGGGTAGAGACAATAAGACTGGCAAGAGATAGAGTAGAGTTTAGGGCTGTTGTACACAGGGTCACTATGAGTCGCAGGCAACTTGACGGCACATTAACAAGACCAACAACAATATCTAATCTATTTCTTTTTCATTCTGTATTTTTCTTTCAATGTCTTAACAGTTCTTTGTTTGTTTAGTGTGAACATATCCTATTAAATCCCCCTGAAGGGGGAATATATCTCTCATCTATCGAGAAGGTAAACAGTGAAACTATTCTGAAGTGATAACCGTGCCTGGACACAGCTAGTTGCTCAGCAGAGAGAACGACAGAGTTAAGGCTTGACTGAGGCCAGATGCAAAGAGCTTTTCTTATCCAGGGAAACAGGTACCTGGCAGGGTAGTTTGTGCTTCCTACAATCTACTCTCCCTAATTTTCAACACAAACTGTATTCCCAGTAGAGTCTCCCTTTTTCCTCCAGGACCAATTCAGGCTGAGAACAGCCTAGACAAGGGCTATGTGCTTCAGGTGGTGCTACAGTCTGTAACCCCAAGCAGGAAAATAACCAAAGGTGAGTTGGGAACACAACATAATCAACAGAAAATCTAGACTATCTACACGATCATTTTTCTGGAACTGGATTTGGACAATGTCAATTTACATTAAAGAACTCAACAGGGATAGATGACAGATCAGCTGTCCGTTGTATGTTACGTTGTTGTCTCAGAGACGCTGACAGCTCTGAACCCCTAACATCAGGTTTTTTAACACCCTTTGGGATTCTTTAGAGAGTCATCGTGGTGTAAGGATTACATGCTCAGCTGGTCACGGATGGTGGTAGCTTGAAGCCACCAGGGGCTCTCTGTGAGGGAAGGACAAGTTCTCTAGATAGGGCACATTTTTGTGTCTCTTAACATTAAAGCGCAGGACAGCAGAGAAGATTCTGAACCAACAGGTAGAGGAGGGGTTTCCAGTCTTCCCACTGAAAGGCTTCAAAACTTGGAATCCCTTACCCTTCACATCTTCCCTTTTTGTACCCCTTGTCAGCTGAAAAGCAGTAAGAATATTTGCTTCCCTTTTCATGCACAGGTTTGCTCTATAAACACAATGAGAAGATACAGGCAAAAACCAATGAAAAACATTAAGAGCCAGAGATAATGGCAGGGTGTGGTGGGGGCTTGTCTCGCCTGCTAAGTCCATGGATGGGAGACAATAGCTTCAGAGGCCACTGAGTGTCAACAATGAGGAGAAACCAAGCTTGAGAAGTAAAGCAAACTGAAAGAAAGAGCAAAATGTCATGCAGGTAGGGAAAGAAGAGACAGAAAGAGGGAGGGAAAGAGAAAGAGAGGGGGAAGAGAGGAGGAAGGGAGGATGATGAAGAGAGGGGGGACAGATAATGAAGAGGGAGGAAGAGGAGATAGGAGGGAGGCAGAGGAGAGGAGAGAGGGAGAAAGGGATGGGGGGAGATTGAGATTGACTGAGGCAGACTGAACAAGGGAGGGAGGGAGGGAAGGATGTGGGAGAGGGGAAGTGAGAGAATAAAGCAAAAATCCAGTCCCCTGGTGTAAGCCTAGTCCTTCTTTAAGGCTCTGGTAGACAGAATGATGGTTGTGAGGAAAAAGAAAAGCAAAACCACTTTCCTCAGAGTAATAGGAACCGAAGAGAAAAATGGTTCCTGTGGGAAAGAGAATTCATAGGTGGCTCGGGGTTAAGATGATGACCCCCTGACATGTGGAGACCTGTAACTGAAGATGTGGAGAACCTGGATGCTTGTTAAGGAAGACAAGAGAAAAGGATGGATAAGCAAAGCCTTGCGCTGACAGTTTTTGTGACCTTTTGCTCTCTTCATGGATGATATAGCCTTGATGTCATTTCACAACGCCCTGGCCTTCGATCATTGGTATTCAATGCAGAACCGAGCAAGACAAGATGGAACTGCCGTCCGGATCTGCTGGGGTCCTACAGCATGTTAAAGAAAAGACCAGAGGAGGATGCTGTTGATGTTTGCTTCTCAGACGGAACTGACCCACAGCTGACTGTCCAGCGGGTTTTCAGAGGCAGTAAACCACATGGGAGGAGACTGCCCATCCTTCTCCCACAGAGCAGCTGGTGATTCGAACCACATGCCTTTGAGATTGCAGTGCAGCTTCTTACTACTAGGCCACCAGAGCTCCCTGGCTCTGGATAGTTCTGCCAATGTAGAGAATGAACCTAAACTTCAGTCCATCAGCTCCTTGAACTGTAAGACGAGCTGGACGTGAGCATTTCAAAGCAGCTTTTCCTCGCTGGTGCTAACATCTGAGCAGGTATTGTGGGTTCCTCCCACAAGCAGCACATACGCTGGGGACTGCTGAACGCCGAGCGCTGCTCTACAAACATCATTCAACAGCACATTTAATTTTTTTTTTAGTATTGTACTTTTTTAATTAATTTTAATGAAAGAGTACAGAGACTTGCGGTTTCCAGTCATTCACTGTTGCACTTTTCTCCCTGCCCACTCCCTTCCCCCAACTCAGTCTTCTCCTTGAAAAGAAAAATTCTTTCATTGTTATGCAATCCCTCCCCCTAAGTCCACTCCACTGTGCAGCCTTCATTTTGGACTCCTGTCACGACAATAA